GCTTAGTTGCTGGCTGGGGCTAAACCACGACACCATATTTTAAATCAAGCTAACAAGAGAAACCACCCCGCAAAGTTAACAATGAAATCACAGCTTTCATATGTCAGAGAAGATAACATAGATGGCACATACTAAATCCATGGGATCTGATGGAGCATGCCCACAAGTGCTAAAGTCACTGGAGGGCAACTCAATTACCTTTGAAAGGTCATGGTGACTGGGAGAGGTTCCTGAAGACTGGAAGAAAGCAAATGTCTATCTACAAGAAGGGCAAGAAGGAGGAACTGGGGAACTGCAGGCTAGTCAGCCTCATCTTCATCCCTGAGAAGGTGATGGAGCAACTAATTCTGGAAACCATTACTTCCAGATACATGAAAAAACAGATTGCCCAGAGAAGTTGTGGAATATCCATCAGTGGAGATATTCAAAATCTGACTGGACACTGTCTTGGGCAACCTATTCCAGCTGACCTTGTTTGAGCAGGGGGGTTGGACTAGAAGATCTCCAGAAGTCCCTTCCAACCTCACCTATTCTGTGATTCTGTGAAGACAATGATCTGTGTTTCACATTGCAAATACCAGATCTATGCGTGCTGATTTTTAAGATCTGAAGATCCAAATCTCCTATGGGGCTTTAAGTAAGAGCAGGAAGAGAGAACAAGGACTTACTACTCTGTCTCTGTCATTCTGCAAGGAGGACAGTGCCTTCTTAAGACTCTGCACTTCTGAAGGAGTGGTGGAAGTGCTCCCTTCTGCTTGTTGCTTTACTTCTTCGATCTTACATGTTTTGCCCAGTTCATTCAGCAGACGGTCTCGCTCATTCTGCAGGCTTGCCATAGCCTTGGAGAAAGATTTGACTTGGTTGGAAGAGCCTTCCAGTTCCGAAGACAAATGCAGAAGCTCATCATCTTTGGCTCTGAGCTTCTGATTAAGTTTCTCAATCTGGGCCAAGAGACCTCTTTCATCAGTGGCTTTCTGCAGTTCTGTCAGCTCAGACTTCACTGTATCTCGGTCCCTGGCAGTAGAATATTGCTCCTTTTGTAGCTGAACCATCTGTTTCTGAAGATTCTGCACTAGACTCTTTTGTTCCTCTAAGTCTGCAGAGTATTTCTGTTTCAAAACATGAAGTTCTTCATTGGCCTGGTCCCGGCTATCCTGAAGAGAGCTCATGGACTTCCCAAACGACTGAATTTGAGCTCTGAGATCTTTGTTTTCATCTGTGACTGCCAGAAATTTCTGTTCCATTTCCATCAAGTCCCGTGCCAACTCTGCTACTCTCTCTTCTGCTGTTTCTGTTTCATTCCTCATTACCCCTGCATCATGATGTAGGTGCTTCAATTCCTTTCGAAGCCTGTCCTCAGCCTCTCCCACTCTCTTGGCTGCATCCCTTTGAACACATACTAGTTCCCCTTCAAGTTCTGTTATCCTTTTCTGTGAGAGGGAAAGCTTATGACTCAGTTCTTGTGTCTCTTCTTCTTGGGCCTTCAGTTGTGCTTGACACTCCATGACAGGACCCCCCTCACGTAATGCTGTCATCTCACTCTGCACCCGAGACAGAGAGGATGTAAGGGTTTCAATCTCTTGAGACATACTGACTTTATCCTCTCTCAAGGCCTCCATGCACTTCCTAAGATCATCCTGAGTATGCTCGGACTCTTTCAGCTGTGTTTCTATGATTGCCTTCTCCTTTTCCAGAGTTTGGATCCGCTGAAGCTGTGTTTTGAGAAGTTGTTTCTGTTGGGAGTCCTTTATTGAAATCACTTGGTTCAGGTCTTCTCTATATCGCACCAACTCTGCATTCAGCTTGGCATTCTCAGAGTTGAGGTCATCCATCCGGCTATGAAAACCTCTGATTTCTTCCTTGAGCTTATTATTTTCAGCAGCAGCCTCTTGAATTAGCTGGTCTTTTTCCAAGATTATAACAAGATGACGTTCCTCAAGTTGCTTGTAGTCTCTCAGTATGCGGTCTCTGTCATCTTGCAAAGATGACATGGACTTGGTGAAGGAGTCCAGTTGTGCCTTCTGCTGCTTACTTTCTTCTCTGCTTACCTTCATCTTTTCGGTGAGATGATCAAGTTTGTCAAGAAATTTGTTCTTCTCATTTTCCAAGGCTTTTTTATCTTCTTTCTCCTTACTTAGTCTATGCTCCAACTCTTTCATCTCTTCAGAATGTTGCTGCTGTAATTCAGATAGAGCAGCCATAACTGCTTCTTCCTTAGCAGACAGCAAACTAATGATCTTTTGATCCTTGGCACTAGTTTCTTCATGCAGTTTATTTGTTAGGTCCTTGGAAGCTTGCAGATCAGCCTCAAGCTGTTCACAGCTGAATTTAAAATTCTGGATACTGGTCTCTTGGTGTTTGACTATACTGCCCAGCTCTTCTCTGACCAATTCACATTTGGTAAAGGAACTCTGTAAGTCAGCAAGCTGATCTCTGAGGCTGCAGATTTCTGACTCCAGTTTCTGCTGTTCATTCTGAGACTTCCTGTACAGTTTCTGAGACCCTTCAAGCTGAGTCAAAAGCTCCTTTTTTTCCTCCTGCAACATTTCACATGTCTTTTGATGATGCTGAATCTCCTTCCTGGATTCAGACTCCCAGTCTTTCTTGTTGCGTTCCAGCCTGAAAACAGAGAAGGGAAAGTCAGTCCCAAATCAATCAAGTATCTCAGTATCCAAAACCACAGTAATAGTTTTAATTGATTATACTAATTTAGAAAAGCCACAAAATCAGTTTTACTTTAAGAAAGCAAGCTGGAAATATCCAGATGATTAGTTTTCCCTCAATTTAAAATTCAAGGCATCTTTTAAAGTTCTGACTGCAGTACTGTCTGAAGGGGCTGGTGCTGGGGAATATTTTTTAAAAGTTGTCCAGTGAGATAAATCTTTATGTTAATATTGAAAAAATGGAGGAGGTTAAACACTGAATGTTATCACCTCCTTTTCATTAAAATGCTTCTTTCTCTCAACCATTGTAGCTAACAAAAAAACCCCAAACCAACCAAACAAACAAAAAAAATCAATGAAATCGCTGTTCTCATATGCTTGATGCTCATTTCACATTCCAGCATGCAAAGATACAGCATTTTGATTACAAACTTTATAAAACAATTTTACTCATGTAAGAACAGTTTGGGTTTGAATTTTGGAAATTCCCAGATGTACATTTTGGTATGTTTCCATAGCTCCATCTTTCCCTCAAAATCTATTTTGGGATTAAACTGGAATGATGTATCCCAGTGCTCTCTTGACATGCCAAGTTTAATCTCTGAATGCAATAACTCTATGCAAAAGAATCTATTTCAAATTTCAGATTAATAAAGACTCTAGATAGTACTCAGATGGCTACTGCTTGTCACAGAGAATAGGTTTAACATGGGTACCCTAACCATGAGAAGAAGGAATATTTTTGCAGTGTTAATCTCCTTGTATCCTTGTGCAGACAACAAATACATAGTAACTCCCTACAACATAACTCCAAACCTCTTTTCCATCCAAGCATAAGTGATCCAGGAGATAAGCCTTATTATATTTATGGCTTTATTAGGAGTACTAATTTTGGTCTCCATCTTAGGCATTCATTAGTTTTGCCAATCACATGTCACATTTAGCATATTTACATACTCAAAATTCTTTCTTTCTGGTATACTGCAACAGGAAAGGGGAATCCTACCTCACCTATGGCTGCTGCCTTGTCAAAAGGAAATATAAGAATACCAGCTGAGTTATTATCACCTTCTTTACCTGGATATATGAGCCTGAAGTTCTTCCACATGTATGGTCATCTGCTTCATCTGGTCCTTTAGCACAACACAAGTTTCCTCTTTTGAACGTATTTCTTCCTCCTTCTTTTGAATAGATTCAGTGAATTTCTTCTCCCATGTTTTTGATTCACCTATGACTCTATCCCTGTCATCCTGAAGGGAAGACATACTCCTGGTGAAGGCTGCAAGCTGGGCTAGTGTTTTGTTTAGGTTGCCTTCCAATTGCTTGGCTTCTTGATCCTTTGTTTTCAAGCAGTCTTGAAGATCACCAACAGTTGTTTCCATACAGTCTTTCTCCCTCTGCAAAGTTGCCAGCTTTTCTTCCATGTTTTTAATTTCCTTTGAGTGCTTGTCTTTTTCCTGTTCCAGTCTTCTCTCAAAGTCCTCATCTTTTTTCTTCATTTGAATTTTAATATTCTCTTTGCTTGCCTGCAACTCTTCTTTCACTTTGACACTCTCTGCTAGAACCCTTGCTGCCTCACTCTGAGTGTCATCCAATACTACTCTGCAGAGAGCAAGCTCTGCTTGGGCTTTCTTGGTGTCTTCAATTGCTTTAGCTAAAGTCTCTTTGGCTGTTTCTACCTCTTTCTGAGACTCACTCTGCAGAAATTCCAGAGCTTTAACAGTTCTTTCTAAACTACTGTTCTTTTCCTGGCTTTTAATACAGTCCTTCTGCAGCTGCTTAATCTCCTGCTGTTTCTGTCTGAGCAGTTCCTGAAGCTCCTTTACATGTGTGCTGCTGTCTCCCCTCCAACTGCATTTTAGCTTTTCTGCAAATTCCTTTTGCTTTTCTGAACTTGCTTTACTTTTCTCCTTTGCCATCTGACATTTCTCCTCCTCCAGTTCATGCATCATTCTCTGCAAACTCTGAAGCTCATGTTTCAGTTGCTCATTTTTGATCTGGAGGTCTGTTGCATCTTGCTGATAGTTTCCAATACTCCCATTAAGTTCTGCCAGCTGATTCATGAGCCCTTCTTCCAAATCATCCTTCTCAGCCACTAGTGTGTCCTTCAGTTCTGTCATTCTGATGAGATCATCTTTGGTTTTTTGGACTGTTTGTTCCATCTTCGCTACTGTGTCCTGAAGAGCACTCAATTCATGGACTTTCTCTTCCATTTGGGTCTCTAAATCCCTCTTCTCACCTGCTAAAGTCTCAACACACATGCGGATGTCACCCAGCTGTTGCTCTGAAGCCCTCCTATTATCTTCTAGTTCTGTGATCCGCTCTGTGAGTTCAGCTATCTGCTGCATGTAGGTACAAAGATCTTCACAAGGGCTACTACCTTCAAATGCTTTTTGTTCCAGCTCTGCAGTAGGAGACTCTGGTCTAAAGCTTATGTCCACTTGATTTTCAGTCTTCTCCATTGGTGGTGGTGTTGCAACTGCCTGATTTGTTTCTTCCCCTTCCCTTGTTGTCTTCTGAGCAACATACTTGTCTACCAGTTCTCTGCTTTCCTTCAGCTTAGATTCTGTTAACTCCAAACAACACTTTAAGTCTGTGATCTCCTGATTAAGAGACTCCTTTTCAGCCATTACTGTCTCAAGCTGAATAGAAAGAGACTGGCAATCCCTCCTAGAGCTCTCCAAATCTTCTTTCAGGTTAGTATTTGTAAAGACATCTCCAGTCCTGTGTAGGTCTCCATCTGTAAAATGCACCTCTGCTCTAAGCTTCTCATTCTCCTCCTCTAGTTCCAGGATCTTTTGTTGCTTTGATTTTGCAAATTTCCTCATTTTCTCTTTCATTCCATCAATTTCCTGTCCAGCTTCCTGTAGCTGCTTATCTGTTTCCTCTTTTTTTGCTTCAACACTTTTCAGCTTAATGAAAATTTCCTGCTTTTCCTGCCTAACAGTTTCCAAAACACGCTGAATCCGTTCAGCCTCATTACTCACATTCTCATATGACTGCAGGAGAGTTTCATATTCTTTCTGAAGCTCCCTGTATTTCTCATGCCACTCAGAACTCTCAGTGGCTTGAAAGCATTTCAAGGATTCCATCTCCTTCTCCAGCTTCTCCTTCTCTAGAACAACTCTATCTAGCGTAAATGTCAGGTTTTTACAGCATCCATCAAGATTCTGGTTTTCTGTAAGTACTTTATCAACTTCTGCAATAAGTTTTTCTCGCTCTTCAGTGAGGCCCACTAACTTTTCTGTTAAAGTATCTGTTTCTTTAACATGGCCACATATTTGGCTTTCCATATTTGTCAACTTGACACAAAGATTTTCAATAGTAGTTTTAGCATTAGCCAGCTCCTCTTTTAGAGATTTGCTCTCATTTAGTGCCTCTTTTCTAGAGATAAGTGCAGCTTGCAACTTCCTCTGCATTTGATTCTTTTGTTTAGCTGCTTCTGCACCGTCATCTTGCTTCTCCTGAATTTCAAGCAACTCTGTTTGTAGCCGCTTGCTTTGTTCCTCATGTACCTGAGCTTGAGTTTCCAACTGACTACATAGTCTCTTGACTGAATCCTCTTTTTCCAGCAACTGTGCCTGCACATTATCGAGAGCTTCACTTTTCTCCCTTAACTGCAAAATAAGAAATTCCATTTCTTCATCCTTTCGGTGCATAAGTGTTTTCAGGTCTTCCAGACTGCCCTCTCTAGAAATTTTTGCTTGACTCTCCTCCAATTCTGTCTGAAGACTCGCTGCCTTAGCTTCAGCTTGGTCAGAGGTTCTTTTCAGCCCTTCTATCTCCCGAAACAACTGTGCTATGTGCTCTTGCAAATGAAAGACTAATTCTGATTTGCAAGCAAGTTCACTTTGCATATGGCTAACGCTATATTGCAATTCCTCTTTCTCCATCTGCAATTTTTCAAGTTTTTTCTTAAACTCTTCCCCAGAAACATCTGCAACTTGTACAAGCTTGTTGTTTGTTGTATTTTCTGCTTCCATGCAGAACCCACCTTGATTCTCAAGAACACTCTCTGTTGATCCTTTCTGTTCTTGGAGTTGTCTGAGCTGAGCTTGGATGCTCTCCTTCTCTTTGCTTTGCTTATCAAATTGTTCTTGTAGGATGTTGTAATCATCTTTCTGCTGTTTCAGCTGTTCTCTGTGATGCCTGTCTTTTTCTTGAGCCTTTTTTATAGTGTCTTTGCGAGATATCAGGGCTTCCTGAAGTTTTTTTTGAAGTTGTTCTTTTTCTTGTTCAAGAGTTGAAATCCTCTCTTTCAGAGCAGACTTTTGGTTTTCTTCAGGATTTGTAGCTGCTGAACTATTTTTTTCATTTTCTTCACAATCTTTTGGGCTTTTATTGGTTTCAGTTACTTTGTCAGCAATTGTCTGACTCTCCATGATTTCATCTTTAATCGAAACGTTTGTCTTACCTTGCAAGCTTCGCCTCATTTCCTCAATCACTGCCTGTAATTGTGCTTCAGTAGTTTCTTTATCCAGCAGGGCCTTTCGGATGCTCTGCAACTCAGATTCCTTTTCAGACAGCAGTTGAATTAGATACTCCTCGCTGGGCTGGCTTTCAAGATTCACTTCTCTGCTTATCATGCTTGTCGTATTTTCTTCCCCTTCAGCTTCTTGAGCCACTGAAGTTTCTGATTCATGTTCTCTTCTCAGTTGTACTAGTTCATTCTCCAATTTGCTAACCTTCTTCAGGAGCTCCTTCCTGTTAACAAGTGCTGCTTGCAGCTTCCGCTTTACTTGCTCGTTTTCTTTTTTCAGAAGTTCAAGTTTATTTACTGATACCTCACTTTCTTTACATGCTGCCTGTGTCTCATACTGCTGCTCAGATGCCCCACATTTCAGACATGTATCTTTTGCTTGTATGTTTTGGTCTTTTTCTTCCTGGGCTTTTAATAATAGACTGGTTTGCTCTTTAAGACTCTTAAGCTCATTTGCTAGAGAAAATTTCTCTTCATTCAG